TCCTACCCACACAAAAATATACGAGCCTGTTGCCACCGCAGATGGAGCAGCTTGAGATGTTACAGAGAACTCTAGAGAAACCTTCTTCCTCCTCCGGCATCACCCATTTTTGCTTCATTGCTAAGCCAGCTTTCCTCACATTGCCTTTGGAGATGATAGTAGAAGAAATACATTAAAGGTGAAAATGAATTTTAACCCCCCAAAAAAGGCCCTGATACATCATGTGTTGCAACACTTCTGAGAGCATCACCGTGCTACAGGCATGCCCAGTGCTCCTGCCATCCTCTACCAAACACTTCTCTGCACAGAACAACCTAAAACCTTTTCTGAGGCTGGATTAACCCCTTCCATAAGCCGGGCACATTTCCCCCCATCCAGTGATGGTCCAGCCTGTCCTGTAGGATAAAAAGAAGAGGACCAGTGCCAGCCTGGCCCTGCGCTGTGCCCCTGCTTGCCAGGGGAAGGACAGAGGCTCCAAGCCCCATCGCTCGTTTGCAGACTTGCATATTTTAAATGGTCCGTGCTTAATGCTTTCTGACTCATCTGTGACATCTACCAAGTTGTCTGTATCTAATCTGTGCTAATAAAAATCAGCATGACAAAACACTGCCTTGTATATAAATAGCCACAGGTTTCAGGGCAGTCACCGTGTTTATAGTGCCAGATTCGGTTGTTCACACTTTACCACTTGGTTTCCACTGCAGTATATTAACTGCCCATGCAAGTGGCCAATTAAAGAGAGTCTGTTAAGGGTTGAGGAGTCTTTTGATAAAGGCTAGCAAGCACTTCAGCAGGAAAGTTAAAAGGAATTCCCTGAAACACTGCAGCTCCGTTTATATGACACAAAGTATTGTCGTTTGCCGAGCACTGATGAGAACAGATTGTTAATGTACAAAACCCAGTCTGAAGCTAAAAAAAAAAACAAAACAAACCAAAACTACCCTAGTTCTTCTACCAAATAATCCAAACATGGATGGGATAGTGCAAAATTGTAATACCTAGCTGCTTTCAGGCAACACAACGTGCAAAAGGGAGGCACAGCATGAATTCAGTTTCCTGCGCAGCAGCCACGGTTTATGGATTTCAAACAAGAAATATTACCCTGAACTGTTTGTTTTAAAAATTGATTACTTAAAAAAAATAGCTTAATATCATGCCAAGAAATTTCTATGGCCAGTCACTTAAGGCAGACAATTACTTAATATAAAACAATGACGATTTCTTATATTATAAGTTTCATTATAGAATCATAGAATTGTTTAGGTTGGAAAAGACCTGTAAGATCATCAAGTCCAACAGTAAACCTACCACTG